CCATAAACATATTTCATCCAGTTTTTCTCAGTCTTACCCCCACCCCAATGCCAGCCTCATTCTACAACAGTGGCACCATAAAGCATTTGTCCCTTTGTGACTGAGATACCTCACTCAGCATTACTCAGCATTTATTTTTAAATTAACTTATTACTTCCTCACAAATGAGCATAATTACATTTTTCTTTAGGAATCTGAACAATATAAGATAGTCTCTTTAAACTTGAAATAAGTTGGATTTTGTCCTAATGAAACCCAAGCATACCAAGGCTGCATAGATCTACAACATTTATCTCCTGTTAAATGCAGAACTCTACTTCATTTTGATTATTCCTTTCTTCCCAAGTGTGCTGTGTTCCAGGCTTCAAATTTTCTATAAAAGTTTTTCATGAAATGAGAGGATAGAATGGCTAATGGGATTTTAAAGAACTTATTTCTAGGCTTCATAGCTTCATTTCCAGTTCCATTTTCAATTGAGCCTTTCATTATTCAAATATTCAGCAGCAATCTACAGCTTACTAATGTCACTTCTACAATAATGGTTTTACATAATAATTGTCTTAGTGGGATTGAATTAGTTCACTTGGTAATGCTCTTCAGTTCCTCTCAAGTTAGGTAATAATTTTATACTGGTTTACATACACAGTTCATGAAGTTCATATACATTGTTTGTCACACTGGACCTTTTCTCTTTACCAATCCCTCCCTCCACTCATCAAATTGTACGACTCTATCTTCTTGGATCCTGTACATGCTTAACAATAATAATCCTATACAGTATTTGTCTTTATGAGACTGAGTTAGTTCACTAACATAATGCTCTTCAGCTCCGCGTATGTTAGGTAGTAATTTACAAAATCATTGCTCTTCCGTGCTGCATAGTATTCCATTGTGTGAATCTGCCACAGTTTCTCAATCCATTCCATTGTGGTTGGACATTTGGGTTGTTTCCATGTTCTTGTGATGGTGAATAATGCTGCTATGAACATTTGTGTACAAGTCTCTGTGACTCAGCTCTCATTTTCTCAGGGTATATTTCAAGCAGTGGAATAGCTGGGTTATAAGGAATTTTTATGTCCAGCTTTTTGAGGAAACATCAAACTACCTTCTAGGATGGTTAAAATCCCAACAATGCGTAAAATTTCTTATCTCACCACATCCTCTCCAACATTTATTACTTGTTGCCCTGTTAAACTTTGCCACTGCTACTGGGGTGAGATGGTATCTCATTGTGGTTTTGATTTGCATTTCTCTCATTGCCAGTGATTTGAAGCATTTCTTGACATGTTTGTTGGCCATCCAAATATCTTCCTCTGTGAAAATTCTTTCCATGTCTTTTGACCATCAGTTGCAGCTCTCTTTGATGCTGACTGTAAATACAGTTCCTCCGCACTAACTGTTGTGGTTGTTATTAGGTACATGGAATCAAGTGTAAGTCTATGAACAACAGATCTGAACCCTGTCCTATCCTGCACTATCCTCACACTTGCTGACTCATAAGAGCTCATTGTGGCAGTCACGGTGACAATCTATTTGGTTGAGGGTCTTCTCTCCTTTGCTGACCCTCGACTTTTTTTAGAGTCATGTCCCTTTCCAAGGAATAGCCCCTCCTAGCAACTTGCTGAAGTGTGTGAATTTCATCATCTTTGCCTTCAAAGAACACTCCATCTGCCTCCTCTCCAAGACACATTTGTTTGCTATTTTGACAGTCCATGGAATGTACAGTGCTCTTCTCCAACACCACAGGTCAGAGGCATCAATTTTTCGTCTTTTGTCCTTTTTTGTTGTCCAGCTTTCAGACGCATACTAAGTGATTGAAAAGAACATGGCCTGAATCAGACACACCTTAGTCATCAAATTTACATCATTGCTCTTGAATAATTTAGAGATGTCTCTAACTGCATACTTTCCTAATATAATACGTCTCCTGATTTCCTGACTGCCAGTACCAAGGGTGTTAATTATGGATCCAAATAAGATGAAAATGTTGACATTTTCAGTCTTTTCTGTATCTATCATGATGTCCAGAATCTTTCTTTTCTAGACATTGAGATGCAATCCTCATTAAAGGCTGTATTCTTTGATTTTATGCTACAAGTGCTTCAAGTCCTCTTCACTTTCAGCAAGTAAGATTGTGTCATCTGTATAATATAGGTTATTAATGAATCTTCTCCAGAGCTTGATGCCACATTCCTTTTCACAGAATCCAGCAGAAATATTGAATATGTGTGGAGAAAGAATACAACCCTGACACACTCTCTTGTTGATTTTAAACCATGTAGTGTTCACAGTGACTGCTGCAATTGGCTCTAATGTTTCAGGAAGTGTGAGGAAGGCACAGAATAGGAAAGGGTTCAGATTTGTTTTTCACAGGGTTCTGGTCATACACCTCGACTTGTCAGCACCTAACAACAACAACAATAACAATATTATCTTGTTCTGTTTGCATGACAGCCTCCTTGTCTACGTATAGTTTTTGCATAAGTACAAATAAGTGCTTTGAAATTCCCATTCTTCTCAATGTTAGCCATAACTTGTTATGATTGACACAGTCAAATACCTTTGCATAGTCAATAAAGCATAAATAAACATTCTTCTGGTATTCCTTACTTTCAGCCAGAATCGATCTGACATAAAAAATTATGTCCCTGGTGCCTCGGCCTTCTAAATCCTGTTTGAATTTCTGGCAGTTTCCTAATTATATACTGTTCTAGCCATATTTTATTAACTGCAGTAGTGTTTTGCTTGCATGTGATACTAATAATATTGTTAGATAGTTAAAAAATACACAGTAGAAAACAAAAGATAGAAAGTGCTGGGTCATATTTGATGATGTAATTACTCATATGCATCATTGCCTATGTCCTGTGTTGTTGTTGTTGTGTGCCATCGAGTCAGCACTGAACCATAGTTTACCCTCTAGTGGATTTCCAAAACAGTAAATTATATGGAAGGAGATTATTCATTCTTCCCCTGCATAGGAGCTGGTGAATTTGAACTCCATGTCTTAGGATTGCAGCACAGTTTTTGACCACTAGGCCACCAGAGCTCCCTCAGCTGTGCCCTAGAGCTTTCTTTTTTAGATTGAAATATCCACCAAATTACATTTGAAATAATGGGAAGGGTAATTAAAAGGGCTAATTAGACAAGTTTGACCCAATGTAAGAAAATAATAAAATTACTTAACTAGTTATAGTGACATGAACAATAAGTCATGGAGGACACAACACAATATTGTAGGAAAACTATAATGAATTGTTGTTGTTGTTGTTGTTATGTGCCGTCGAGTCGCTTGTGACTCATAGCGACCCTATGTACAACAGCCCTAAACTCTGCTCTGTCTTGTGCCAATCACACTGTCTCTGACACTCCCATCCCGATTATCCCAGTCACTGAATCAATCCACCTCATAGAGGGCCTTCCCCTCCTGCGCTGTCCCTCCACCCTCCCAAACATGATGTCCTTCCCCAAGGACCAGTCTCTCCTCACAACATGCCCAAAGTATGTTAGATGGAGCCTCAGAATCCTTGCCTCCAAGGAGCCACCCGCTTTAACCCTTTCCAGGATGAATCTGTTTGTTTTCCTAGCAGTCCATGGTATTCTCAATACTCTTCTCCAGCACCACAGCTCAAAGGCATCAATTCTCCTTCTATCCTCCTTGGTCATTGTCCAACTCTCTGATGCATAACAGGTGATTGCAAAGACCATGGCCTGTATCAGACGTACCTTAATCTCCAGAGTGACACCATTGCTCTTCAGTACTTTGGAGAGGTCCCTAATAGCAGACTTTCCCATGGCAATGCGCCTTTTAATTTCCTGGCTCCTGGTGCCAAGACTGTTGACTGTGGAGCCGAGCAAACTAAAGCTGTGTACAATCTCAATCTCTTCACCATCCATCCTGATGCTGCCAGTTGGTCCAGTGGTGAGAATCTTTGTCTTCTTGACGTTGAGCCTCAATCCATATTGGAGGCTTCAGAGGTCACAAGTGACCAGTGGATTTTATTACTGAACAGAATAACATGTTTGGCTAAAATGTGTCATGAAATAGATCATCATAACAGAAATAATCATGGAAAGTAGAACTGCCAAAGAACTAAAGGAATTTTTCCATTCTCAGATAAAAATATCAATCATTCACCCTCTTTTCCTCCCAAAAAAAGTTTCGATTCTTATTCCCAGGGATAAAAAGTAGTGCTTCCTGTGTGCCACAGGATTTGGAAAGGGTGATGATTTGGGGAGTAAGTCATTAGATCTTTCCCTCAAGGTATCTTTTGGGGAGACTCAAATCTCCAACCTGATGTTAAAATCTAGAAATTAAAGGTGAATCCAGGGTGCTCCTTGGAGACAAGGATAGTGACACTTCTTCTCACACACTTTGAGCATGTTGTTAGGGACATTGGAAAAGGATATCATACTTGGAAAGGTAGAGGGTCAGCAAAGAAGGGGAAGACCCTCAATGAGATGGATTGACAATATGATTTTTTTTTTTGCTGCTCACTGGTAATATGTTTATTTACAAACTGAAGAAAGGAGAGGTCAGAAAACAGCAGGTGGGGTGATGTGGACAACTCAGCTTGGTCAACTCGGTTCAATGTATGTAGAAATGTCGATCTCATCGGGAAGCTGTGCCACGTTCACCTCAAACCGGTTCTGAACTTCACTGAGGGTTTTGGCATCATTCTCGTCAGACACAAAGGTGATAGCCAGGCCTTTGGTGCCAAAGCGACCTGTACGGGCTACCCGATGGAGGTAGGGATCGGAGTCTTCAGGCATGTCATAGTTGAAGATGATGTTGACGCGCTCGATGTCCATTCCTCGACCAAACAGGTTGGTGGCCACCAGCAGACGTCTCCGGAAATCCTTGAACTGCTGATAGCGGGACAAACGCTCCTCCTGGGACATGCCCCGGTGGATGGTTATGGCTGGGAAGTTCTGTTCCACAAGAAGCTGGGCTAGGGCCATGCAGCGCTGCACCATCTTCACGAAGATCACCACCTGGTTGAACTCCAGCACGTCTAAGAGGTCAAAGAGCTTGCGGTTCTTCTCGCTGTCTTTGAGCTTGACGTAGTACTGCTGCAGCCCGTGAAGCGTGAGCTTGGTCTCATCGTCCACAAACACCTCTATGGGGTCTTGCATGAACTTCCTACAGACGGGCCGGATATCCTTGCTTAGGGTGGTACTGAACATCATGCACTGCTTCATGTGGGGCGTCAGCTGGAAGATCTCCTGCACGTCCTGCCGCATGTCCATCTGCTCCAGCATCTTGTCACACTCGTCCAGCACGAAGCGCTTCACGTTCTTCATGTTGAGGCTCCTGTTCCGCGCAAGCGCCAGGATGCTGCCTGGGGTCCCCACGACGACATGGGGACAGTTCTTCTTCAGCACCTCTTCATCCTTCTTGATCGACAGGCCACCGAAGAACACTGACACCTTGACATTGGGCATGTGCTTGGAGAAGCGCTCATACTCTTTGCTGATCTGGAAGGCCAGCTTCCGAGTGTGGCACATGACCAGGACCATCACCTGTCCGTCAACCGGCTCAATCTGCTGCAGGGTGGCCAGAACAAAAACGGCTGTCTTGCCCATCCCAGACTTGGCTTGGCACAGGATGTCCATTCCCAGAATGGCCTGGGGGATACACTCGTGCTGAACCTCAGACGGATGCTCAAAGCCACAGTCCACAATGGCCCTCAGCAGCTCCGGCTTGAGCAGGAAGTCCCGGAAGCCAGAGCTGTGAATGGACACGTAGGAATCCTTCTTGGGTGGAGCTGGAGTGCTCTCGGGAGGAGCCTGGGGCTCTTCATCTTCCTCGTAATCCAGCAGCTCGTTTTCCACATCTTGTTCTGTCATGGTGCGAGTCTTCCGGGCGCTGAGAGTCAAAAAAGCCCGACAATATGATTTTAACAGTCCTCCCAAGTATGTTAGAGATGGTTAGGTCGGCACAGGTAGGGTAAACTTCAGAACCATTGTTCTCAGGGTCACTTAACAACAACAACACTAACCACCCAAGAGCTTCATCTTGTTAGTTAATAATTTCCATGTTATTTTTTATTCCCTTGGTAGTTAGTTTGCTCCTAAGTATAAAATTGTTGTTGTTGTTGTTATTGTTGTTGTTAGGTGCCATCAAATCATAGATAACACATAGCGACCCTATGAATGAGAGACCTGAACACTTATATAACGTTCATCATTTCTCCTTGTTCGTAGAGCTTCTGGAGTCAAGATATTTCAGAAGTGGATGCCACTCCTGCTTCCAACATTGTTTTAATTGGAGAGCTCCACGAAACACTGTCTTTCCACCATGGGTAACCATTATCACATTTGACTCATCAGTGTCACAGTGCTCAGCATCACAGCCACCATGAGTTACCACTGTAGAGCAAATGGACAAACCAGTGCTATACCACTTAGAAGAATGTTTGACCAAAAGCAAGCTCTGAGGTCTGCCTTATCCAGAGCCAGTCTCACTGACTCTGACACACCTACCCCCACTGCCCAAGTTACTGTAACAAAATATCTCATCTTCTCCAGGTATGAAGTCCCTATCCAAGGACTGGTCCCTCCTAACCACATGCCCAAAGTATGTGAGATAGATCTTCAGAATCCTTTTCTCCAAGGAGAAGCTTGGTTTCACCCTCTCCAAGATGGGCTTGTTTGTTTTCTTGGCAGTTTATGGTATGTTCAAGACTCTTCTCCAGCATCAAAACCCAAAGGCTTTGATTCTTCTTCTCACTGTCCAGTTCTCTGATGTATAACAAGTAGTTGTTAAGACTATAGACTGAATCAGACTCACCTTATTTTCTCTACTGATATTGTTGCTTCTCCGTACTCTGGAGACATCCTTGACAGAAGATTTTCCCAGTGCAATTAATCTTTTGATTTCCTGGCTCCTGGCGCCAACAGTGTTGATTGTGGAGCCAAGCAAGCTATAATTGTAACAACCTCAATCTCTTCTCCCTCTATTTTAGTACTGCCAATTGGTCAAGTGGTGAGAATCTTTGTCTTCTTAATGCTGAACTTCAATCCATATGGAAGACCACAGTCCTTGACCTTCTGTAGCATGTGCTTCAGGACATGGAAATAAAATACTAGTAGGGAAAGTTATAGACATTTAGATTTTTCCAAAAGGAAGTATTCTGCTGCTATTCATAAACACTGGCTAATTCCCCCAGAACATCAGTAGACTCCTCTTTCCATACTAGCTCTGTAAAATCCACAGAAGCCTGTCCACCAAGGATGATCCTATTTGACATACCTTTGTCATCCTTCCCGGCATCACAGTAACCCCTGAGCCACAACAGTGTGATAAACTGACAGATACATTTTTGAAGGTGTCAACAGATTTGATTATTTCATTGTGATTTGAGTGAAAGTTTGTGAAGTATGCCATTTTCAATCAATCATTTGGCTTTATAACTCAATTACAATACCATTACCAATTAACCATTTGTTTTATATTACCTTTCCCTCTGGCCATAGAAACAAGTGCTTATTATATGTCTGTAATTAATATCCATGAAGGCAGCAGTCAAGAGATCAAATAATAAATTATTTGCACTGTTGTTATTGTTAGGTGCTATTGAGTTGAGTATGACTCATAGTGACCTGATGAAAAAAGATCTGAACCCTGTTCTATGCTGACCATCCTCACACTTCCTGAAACAAAAGAGCCCATTATGGCAGTCACCGTGTCAATATACCTCATTTAAGATCTTCCTCTCCTTCACTGACTCTCCACCCTTCCCAGTAACATGTCCCTCTTTAAGGAATAGCACCTCCTCTCAACATGCCCAAAGTATGTGAGAAGAAGCCTCATCATTCTTGCCTCCAAAGAGCACTCCAGCTGGAACCTCTCCAAGGCATTTTTGTTTGTTCTCTTGGCCTTCCATAGAATGTTCATTGCTCTTCTCCAAGACCATAGCTCAAAGGTGTCAATTATTTTCTGTCAATCTTATTCATTGTCCAGTTCTCAGACACATAGCAAGTGATCAGAAAGAGTATGGCCTGAATCAGATGTACCTTAGTCCTCAAAATGGCATCATTATTTCTCAGTAATTTGGAGAGGTCTCTAACTTCAGGTTTTCCCTGTGCAATGTGTCTCTTTACTTTCTGACTCCTAGTATCAAGGGTATTAATCATTGGTATCAAGGGTATTAATCATTGAACTAGGTAATGTTATTACAAAAGACTTCCTGATGACTAATGTGCCTGGCCTTTTCAGTTAACACATACAGATATAAAAACTGGACAATAAATAAAGAAGATGGAAGAATTGATGACTTTGAATTATGATGGGCAAAGGTTGTGAAGAAGAATGGACTATCAGAAGAATAAAAAAAATCTGTCTCTCAAGAGCAGATGCTTCTTAGCACAAAGAATGCCAAGCTTTGGTCTCACTTACTTTGGACACTTACTTCGAATAATCATTTTGTGAAGAAAGACATCATATATGGTAAAGCAAACAGTTAGCAAAAAAAAAAATAGTGGAATACATTCATGACAACACAGTGGTTGCAACAATGAGCTCCAACTTAGCAATCATTGTAAGGATGGTGCAGGACTGGGCACCATTACATTCTCCTATACATCGAGTCATCTCTGAGTAGGGAGTGACTTAAACGCACCAAGAAACAATAAAAATATGTAAATTTTGTTTTAATTTTTTACCCTTTCTTTGTTCTTCTACAGTGATGAATAGTAAAAATCTTTCAACATGAATTGGAAAGAAATTAAGTCACTCTGTCACTCCAGGTTGTTGAGGGTTTTTCTCTTTTGCTAAGTCTCCACCATTTCCATTATGATATCTTTTACTAAGGACTGGCCTTCCCTAATAACATGCCTCAAGTATGTGAAATTGAGTGTTTCTCCATCCTTTACTCTAAAGGGCTCCCTAGTTGCACGTCCTCCAAGACAGATTTGTTTGTTCTTTTGGCATTCCATGCGATACTCAGTACTGATTGCCAATATCACAATTTAAAGATATTTATTTCCTTCAGTCTTCCTTATTTGTTGTAAAAATTTCACACACTTATGAAAGAATTGAAAATACTTTGGCTTGAGTCACATAAACTTTTGTTTTTACATCCTTGCTCTGAAGCACTTTGGAGAAGTACTTGACAGCAGATTTCCCCAATGCAACATGCCTTTTGATTTCTTGACAGCTGTGACCATGTTACAGCAGGGTTCATTGATTGTGGATCCAAGTAAAATGAAATGGTTGACAAATTCACTCTCTCAATATGAATATGAATAATGAGCAACCATGAAGAAACAGAATAGAATCTCTGGGTAAAAGAAAATTATTTCATGTGGTTAATTAATCATACTGAACTGGAAATCTATTACAGAGTGATTAACCCACATTTGATGAGGTCTTACCTCTTCTCACTGGTAAAGATGAGAATTTTCTTTTTGTGGTTCTCTTTTCTTCTTAACAAAGTTTAATGGCTTTACTGTTGTTCCTTGTACTGTTTAGGACTTTTTGAAATTTAAACAGTAGGTGTAATTTTATTTTCTTATTTCCAGTTATGATCATAATTAACAGGTATGTTTTCTTCCTATACTCTCTGGTTTGTACTATATTTGCTCTACTTTTCCCATGACTTTTTTTATTAAGGTTTTAATGTAAGTTTATAGAGAACTTGAATTTTTAGTCATTCATTTTCCTCCTTTCCCCCTCTACCCCTTAGTCGTTTTATGTGGGTTTTTTTTTTAAGAAAAAAAAATTCTTTCATTGTTATACAGTATCCCTCCCCTTGCCCCAGTACTATGTAGCTCTTATTCTGGACTTTTGTCATGTCAGTAATACCTAATCATACATTCCTTTTATAGAGTTCTTTCCCTTATCTGTTTCAATGCTGTGTAAATTGTTTAACCCCTTTTGCCTTAGTTTCCCCCCAATATTCATGTCAATCTCTTTTTTAACATTTTTTTATTTTATTAATTTTAATGAACATTTACAGAGATTTTGGATTTCCATTCCTTCATTGTTGTACTATTTTCTCTACCATTTCCCAGTTCATTTCTTTCTTTTTTCCCCCCCTTGAAAGTCTGTTTTAATTGTCTCATTGCCACAGTGCTTGTCAAAGCCAGTTCTGATTAATCTCCTTTGTCAGTGTGTCCTTTGCCATTCCCTATCACTCCTC